GCCCTCACACCTACTAACTGCACCAGGGAACTCAATTTTCTTGTCTTTTAAATTTAAGATAATAATACGTACCTCAGATAGTATTGTAAGGCTTAAAGAAGTTAACATAGGAAAAGGACTTGGGAGAGTTCCTTGAACACAGTAAGTTACCTCTAAATGTTTACCGTCATTAATTCTCATTAAGCGGATTGGAAAAACCACACAGGCTCAATACTATTTTTTAAAGTCTGAAAGTATTTATATTATTAAACACAAAAGTTTGTCTATATTCTAGGAACAAATGTTTTTCTTTAGTTTTTTTCAACCTCAATGCATCTATTTCACAAATATAAATTGAGCACCCAAGTGCCATGTACTAGAAGATGTGCCTGGGATATCTGACTACCAGTAAGAGAGCTTAAGTTCCCAAGGAGCTTTAATTCTAAAAGAGAGAAAATAAACCCATAAACAAATACAATAATGAAGATAATATCAAATAGTAATAGAACTGTGCAGAAAATGAAGCAAAGTGATATAATAGGTAGGTGTAGGGGCAGGCTCATGGTGAGGCAATGCTACTCTAACAGTGAGGTTGATGCTGAGGTCTGATTAAGAAGATTGTTCGGCAAAGTCTGGGCAGAACACACTCCAGCAGAGAGGAGCTCTGGTGTCAAGGAGCAGGAAGAAGGTTGGTGTGGCCAAAGTGGCTCGAACCAAAGAATGGGAGATATTGTCTGAGACAGAGTCAAGAGCTAGACTGTGCAGAGCCCCATGGGCCTTGGTCAGTTTTCTATTGTATCCTACATGAGAGGAGAGGCCATTGGAAGGTTAGAGTGAGGAAAGATGTAATCTGAGTTATGATTCTCAACAGTCACCCTGGCAGCTGGGCAAAGGCAGTCAAAGAAGCTAATCCTAACTGACCAAGGAGATAATGCCACCCTCCCTTTACTTATTGAGTTTTATGTTCCATTTGCACCTATATTACAACTCAAATTTAAAGATGACCATGTGATCTCACTTATATGTGAAGTCTAATCGACAAAATAAACTGATAAACAAAATAGAAACAGAGGCATAGATACTTGGAGCAGACTGACAGCTGTCAGAGAGGAGGGTGGAGGGGTGGGGACTGGATGAAAGAAAGTGAAAGGATGAGCCAAAGAACATGCTGTGTGCGCAACCCACAGACACAGACACCAGTGTGGCGACGGCCAGAGGGGAGGGGGCAGGGGCTGCGTGGAGCGGGGGCGAGGGGGATAATGGGGACATCTGTAATAGTAATAGTATCAACAATAAAATAAAGTTTTAAAAAACCCCCACTGTTTCTACAATCTCTTTTCCCCTAGAGCTTTCTGCAGAAAATTTTAGAGAGCATGAACTCACTAAGACCCATATCTGTGTAAGTTACATTGTACCAAAACCACAGTATGATTTAAAGCAGCATGGAATAAATAAATGTAATTGTGCTGAGGATGGTGGCAGCCAAACATATACCACACAGGGGCTAGCAAAATCTAGAACAGCTTACATGCAATGTTTTATACCATTTCTTAAACATTAAGTAGCAGTTATTCCACATGACTCATTTTTCTTCTCTTTCAGGTCTTTGAAAAGAGTACAATCAGTTCTGCTCCTGTTTGGAAAATGGGAATTTGTTCTGATGCATCTGATATAGTAGGGACAATCTGAGGACAATGCAAATATAATGTTTGCTCACGTACCATCTCATCCATGAGCACCACTTGATGAATGCAGAACACTGCACCCAATGGATCAAAACCTCACTGAAATCCACAACCCACATGCTCCTCAAACATCTGCTACTTCCTTTTTCCAGCCTGTGCTGTGGGCCACACCCATCCACAGCTGGTGCTAAAACTTCCCAAGTGATTTCAGGTAACCCTCCTGCCACCACTTCACGGTGACTCAGAAGCTGCCACCCCTCTAATGCCCACACGCAAACTTCAGGTTTGTTGCAAGGTAAAGAATCATATTTATTGTAATATTTATGTATTTCCTAACAATTTACTGTGTGTGAAACAGTGCTACGATTTTTATTAGGTTCTTATCGCGTGTGTCACTGCAACATTTTTGAGTGTTATGCCCCTAAGTGCCACATGCTGAGAAGCCCTGGAGCACATGGAGCAGAACTGGCTACCTTTGAAATTCAAATATAGTCTTTCTGGGTTGTTTCTAAAATTTAGCGAACATCTAGAATTACTGGGGTGATTAGAGAAACTTAATTATATAGTGTCTCTGAATCATAAGATAGGTTTAATAAAAGTACTTAGAATGAGAAAGACGTTACAAACTTGAGAAAATCACAACTAATTGGATACTACATATTAGGTATTATTTCATTCACAAGTATGGCCATTCTATCTTATTTAGGTGTTTAATTTTTTCACTCTTATTGTTTTATCATTTTTTACATCTCATAGAAGAAAAAAGTAACTAAAGAGAAGTTCCTTTTAGTTATAAAAGAAATAGTTTCATGGAGGGGGCATGTGTGTGTGTGTGTGTGTGTGTGTATGTGTTTACATATTGGGGATAAAGTTTTAAGTGCAATCTAAATTCATCCTGAATAAAAAGTGTTAATGTTGCCTAATTGTTGGATGCTTACAGTAAAATGAAAACAGAAAGGGAAGGGAGGAGAGGACAGGAGAGAGGGGAGGGGAAGGGGAGTAGAGAGGGGAGGGGGAAGGGAGGAGGGAGGGGAAAGCAAGAGAAGGGAAGACACTTAGTCTTTTAACTCCCCTAAGAAGTTAAGGAAATCAGTGCTTAAAAAAAATAGTAGAGTAGAAAAGTCTTAGCGTTCATTAAAATACCATAAAGTTCTTATAAGCTGGACATACATCTGTGGCATATTTTATGGAAAAAATAAAAGGGAAGAAAATATTAACATCAAAAGTTTTGAAAACTGTTTCATTCTGAAGCCCTGGAAGTTTTTAGCAGGCAGCCCTGCACGCTGTCCCTGACTGGCACAGTGTGTGGGCGTGTACCAAAGACTCCTGTCCGCTAGGGGCTAGACTTTCACCAATAAAATGCTTTTAACTATAGCACTTAAAGTCCTATTTACTTAGCCTACAGATAAAAAGTTTTTTGTTAACCCTGAAATGTATTTCTGATCATAAGAAAGATAATGTTTCAATATGTAACTCAGATCAGTTTAATAGTTCCAAATGAATTAACTCAAAAATGTATGTTCACAAATAAAATCTTACTTCAGGAAGTTTATATTGTGATATTAAAATAGTTTTATCACTGAAACATTTGCTATTTTCCCTCTTTCTCACCTCCAAGCTTTATGAAGCTAAAAACTTTATTACTCAGTAATCGCGCTTAGTTAACATCAAGCAATCAAGTCTGCATGGTGCGTCACTGTTATATAAATGTATATTAGAAACAAAACAAGATCAAGGGTACTTCAAAAAATTTTTTTTGGAATTCACGCATTCATCAAACATTTAGTCAGTTATTTCTGAATGATTGGATTTGGGAAAAGCTTGTTTTTTTGTTTTTGTTTTCTTGTTTTTTGTTCATTTTTCTATAAAAAGGATGTGAACTTTTGTAGTCATGAAGAAAGGGTCATTTTTTAATTTAAGATTTATTTATTAAAATTCTATCAATCCTGCTTTAGCCATACAAGACGAAAACAAGAACCCTTTCTCACACCAGTCAATTTCATTTGAGAGACAGGTAAATAACCAAGGTCCTTGTAAAGCATTGACCGTTCCTTTGGTATAAAACAGGTGTGTAAAGGGCAGCAATACAGTATAAGGCAAGATGAGCAACAATTAAGATGCGTGGCTTTGGAGTCAGAGAAAGTGTGGTCTAATTTCGGCTCTGCTGTGTGATCTCAGTCTATTTTTAGCCATCTAAAATTTCTCCAAAGTGAATCACAGAATTAAGTGAAATAATGTATGTAAAGCTTTAGTACAGTGCTGGACTAAAAATGTTTTGTTTTTATAATAGAGCACTAGAGAGGCATGGAATAGGGAATTGAGACTCAATACACCTAGCGATCACAGCGTGACTGAGAGAGGAGGGCAGGTTCTCAGTGCACTGAGTCACCTGCACTGGATGTTCACTGCATTAGAATTTCACAGGGAATAGCAGTTACATACCTGTCTATAGCATGGAGTCTATTTGAAAGCTCTGACACCAGTAAGATCATAGCACTCTCTCAGGAGGAATGAGATGGCCAAGTTCTGCCCAAGGAAGTTCTCACAAGAAGGCATTATGAAATGTCCTTATTCCTCAGAACTTAACTTTAAAATGTTCCCACTGAAGTCCAATGGGAGTTTTATGAGACTAAAGGATAGAATTAGGTCTTGTGTATTTTTAAAGGGTCATTCAAAAAGGCAAAGTCTAAAGTTTTTACAGATGGCAGCGTAAGTACAGATGCAGTTGTCCAAAACTGACCTTTTATATTTTCCAGAAGCAAATGTTTACTGAAAGAGGAGTCTACTATACTACCAATATTAAAAAAAAATTCTGGATGCTTACATTGGACAACTCAGTACACATTCACTGCCAAATACATTTATAAAAATCAATAACAATATTTTCCATGGTACCTGTTTTCAATCTTCCCTCAAAATTTTGCCCTGAAGTTGCTTTTTCTCAAACACCAATATGTTTCTGAGGAAAAATATGACATTTTTGATGAGAACAGGTTTGTAAAAGCATAGGCGTTTTAAGGACCTTACTGGTAGCTACTTCACCTTAGTGGTGCCCAGGCAAGGGCGAGGATGGTTGGCTTTGCTAGGTGTTCTGGACAGTAAATTCAGAACTGATTTTTGCTTCTTAGAGAATGGAGCTCCTTTCAATATGCTTTCAGAGAGGAAAGGGGGTTTCAGAAATCTATGCTCTTTCAACATTGAAGAATTTGGATGAGTTGAATGAAAAAAGTTAGAAATACAAAAGTCCATCAAATATAGAGGTGAAAAATTAAGGGTGGTTCATCACAGTGCATATTGGGTTTAATGAATTCAAAAAGTTCAAGGTGGCGGGGGAGTGGGCTATTCCCTTGGGCAGCACGCATACTGAAATTGGAATGATTTGAAGGTTAGCATGACCCCTGGTCAAGGATGACATGCAAATTCATGAAGTGTTCCATGTTTCATGTTTTTAAAAACACATGTAATGTAAATGGTTTTTAGAATGTTATTCGCATCTTCCTTGAGAAGAGGTTTGTTGTGTTTGGTTTTTCTTACAGGAAATGAATGTGAAATCCATTCTGTAATGCATTTAGAGAAGTGCCTAGAAACACAAGTAATGAGGATTGTTATATAGTGCTACATGCAAAAAAAAAGTTTAGGGCTAAAAATTGAAATTGTGAACTCAATTAATCATCCCACAATAGCCGTAGTTCAAAACTGTCTTATCTTTTTACATATTAAGTGAGTTTCAAGTACTCTTTTAACACGTAGATTTTAAAAAACATTTTGTTCCATAGCTGGTCCACAGGAGTTAAGAAATAGTCCGCTTTCCTTTCTCAGGAGACAATAAACACAGTAGATGTTCATTAAGACAACAATTAAAATTACCTTGTGTACACAGAATGACTTTGGCTCTGAGTTCTGTTTTCTGTTATGAATTATAGAAGTCTATATCTTTTTTAAAAAACAATAAAAATAAATGGTTAACTTGAAGTAAAATAGTACCCCCCACTTTCAGGAGATGTTTGGCAGTTTCTTATAAAATGAATGCACTCTCAATTTTTTACCCAGTCATTCCACCTCTAGATATTTACAAAAAAATGAAATAAAAACATATATCCACAAAACCATTTTCACAAGAGTGCTATAGAAGCTTTACTCATAAGTGGCAAAAACTGGAAATTCAAATTTCATCAAGAGGAAAACGGGCAAATTTTAGTACGTTCCTATAGCAGAATTCTACCCAGTAGCAAAAAAAATATTGATATGCACAATAACATGAATAAATCCAAGAGACAATGCTGTGCAAAAAAAAAAAAAGCTAAACACAAAACAGCACACAATTCCATTTATACGAAAGTCAATATTTAGAAAAATTAATCAATATTTTTTAAAAATCAGAGAAAGGGCTGCATCTGGGTGAAGGAGAGGATTGATGGGAGAGGACAGGAGGGTGCTTGCTGGGATGATGACAATATCCGTTTTGCACAGAAAGGTGGTTAGATGGCCGGCAACGTGCGCCTGGCAAAAGTCATCAAACCGTACACTTAAAGTGTCTGCATTTCACTGTAAATTAATGCTATTTCAAAAAGAGTAAATGTCTATATTTTTAAAGCTTTTTTAAAAGTATGTCATGCAAGTAAACCAAAGACAGTATGGCTTTTTTTATGTGCCTTCCCATATCGCTATTTGTGAACTTAAGTGGTTCTAACAACTCACTGAACATATTTAATTTACAACTGTGCATCATTTTTGTAACTGGTCTATTTTCCAGAAGGCAAGCTTGTCTTTTTTTAAATTTAAATTGTTTGTAATACAGCACATAAATTGCCATTAAACATGGCAATGCAATGAGAACCTCTAGAAGGAACAGGTGGGATCACTTCCCATTTTTTTTTCTTATGACTTTGAGAATAAATCTCCCTCAAATGACACCTTTCTCCTTCAAACACTTCAGTTGTATATTTTATAACTTTTACATATGTCATTTTTACATGACAGTCACAGCTCCCACCTGGAGTTTTGCAACACTGTCCGCATGTTACCTTTTTTTTTTTTAGAATATGCATGTTTTATTCTGAATAATTTTGCATAATAAAAATGAATATACAAAATAATTAACACAAAATATTTTATTTTAACAAGCTGAAATAAATCATGAAAGAAAAAAAGCAGAAATATAACCCATGACAGAGTCTTCACAAGTCATAAAAGTTCAAAAGTATTCCTCCAGTTTCACTAATAAAAAGACATGAAGGTCAAAATATAAATCCCAATATTGAAAGTCAGACATAATATACTATATACTTCCTAGGCAATTAATACCAATGTTGAGGTAGCCAGATTCAACAGGTGAAGTTAAAAATCATTCAAATGGTTTAATAGTCACAGAGGTTATAACTAACAAGTTGAGAAATCTCAAGAAACTTGAGAACCTTATTAGACATTTCAAAAAAGACAAACCACTTCATTGCCTTGCATATTCATTCATTCATTCACTCATTTGTTCATTTTTTCCACAAGTATTTATTGGTGTACATTTATTATGTACCATAAGGGTGTTAAGAATACACAATGGGAAAATGATAGTGTTGCCAACAAATGGTGCTGGGAAAGCTGAATACCACATGCAAAAGGATGAAATTTGACCCTTATCTTAAATCACATACAAAAGTCAACTTGAAATAACTTGGACTTAGGCATAAGACCCCAAAGTATAAAACTCCTAGAAGAAAACATACATGAATGGTTCCATGACATTGATCTTGGCAATGGTTTCTTAGATATGACACCAAAAGCAACAAACAAAAACAAAAATGAATTAGTGGGACTATATTAAACTAAAAGTCTTCCGACTAGAAAAGGAAATAATCAACAGAGAATACATCTTATTTTAAATGTCCTTTCCATAATAAACACTTTTAAATGATATGTTTATTACACTATTGAATTTTAAGATAACATGATGATTTGATATACATTCTTTGGATGTGTACAACAGTCTTGAAGAAATTTTTGTGATTAGTTGTAATTTAATACCTAAGGTCTGAGGTAAGAATGTGTCAGTACTTACTGCTAATAAGACAGGAGTGATTCTTTACACTATGCATTCCTGTTAGAATTTGAGACAAAATAAAAAGAATACAAGCCTAACAGATGAAACTTTCAGAAAGCACAGAAAGACAGTCTACGGACCCCTATAAGCAATGCTGTCTATTGTCAGACAAAAAGTGAAAAGAGCCATGGAAGCAGATCTAAAAAGCTCAATTACTGACTATTTATTCAGTGTATAGGTTAGAAAGTAAATTCTGACCTTAGTAACAGATATCCAGACTAATTTCTCTCTCAAATAAAAGAAGTCCATAAATTTGACAGGTCAAAGCTGGTATGGATGTTCATGGTCATCATGAGTCTGGGGTCTTTCAGGCTTTCTCCCGCACCATCTTTAAGGTTACCTCAAGATCCAGTAGGGCTGCTGGAGCTCTAGTCATTACATCCACATTTCAAGAAATGGAAGAAAAGTAGATGGTTCAGAACAGAAGGGCTTCCCCAGAAATCCCACTAACAACTTCCACTAACATTTCATTATTCATCCCTATCCACTAGGATGGCTGGGTGATACAGTTTTTCAATTGTCTAAGATTAGTAAAGAAGGAAAAGAGCATGGATACTGGGCAGTCCTTTGTATAACAAAGGCTGGTTATATTCTTCTGCCTAATAGAGTATAAAAAGATAGCTGTAGTTGTTCTTCCTCCTATATGATAACAGCAAGAGCAAACAATTGAATGTTTAGCATAGATCAGGCAGTGTTCTAATTCCTTATTTGTATTAATTTATGAACTTTATAAAATAGGTCAAGGTTATTCCCAATTTATAGTCAAGGAACTAAAGCACAGTTTTAGAAACTTGCTCAAATGAATAGAGTTGGTAAGTATTAGAGCCAAGATTTGAACCCAGGTGTTCTGCTTGAGTCTATAAAATAAAAAGCTATATTATAAGAGAAATAGTATTTTTAAGTGAAAACACTGATCATCAGATAAATACCAATCAAAACTACAATGAGCTATCACTTCACACCTGTTAGAATGGCTATCATCAATAAGTCAACAAGCAAGTGCTGGCAGGTATGTGGAGAAAAGGGAACCCTAGTGCACTGTTAGTGGGAATGCAGATTGGAACAAACACTATAGAAAACAGTGTGGAGGTTCCTCAAAATATTAAAAATGGAACTGCCTTTTAACCCAGTGATCCCACTTCTGGGAATAGATCCGAAGAAACATGAAACACTAATTCAAAAGAATATATGCTCCCCTATATTCATTGCAGTATTATTTACAATAGCCAATATCTGAAAGCGGCCCAAGTGCCCATCAGTAGATGAGTGGATAAAAAAAGCTATGGTACATTTATACAATATACCTTTTGTGACAGCATGGATGGACCTGGAGAGTACTATGTTATGCAAAATAAACCAGTTAGAGAAAGACAAATACCATATGATTTCACTTATATGTGGAATCTAATGAACAAAATAAACAAACAAACAAAACAGAAACAGACTAGTAGGTTCAGAGAACAGGCTGACAGCTGTCAGAGGGGCTGGGTGGAAAAGGTGAAGGGATTAAGCAGTACAAATTGGTAGTTAAAGAATAACCACAGAGATGTCGTTTGCAACATGGGGATTATAATCAATAATATCATTGTAACTGAGTATGGGGCCAGGTGGGTGTTTGGGGCAGTTGGGGACCACTCTGTAGATTGCATGGTTTTCTGGCCACATCTGAGACTGGTGTGGAATGGTATTGAATGTAAATTGTGGTTGAAAAATAAAATAAAATAAAAATAAATAATTCAAAAAACAAGGAAACAAAGAGAAGTAATTCAGAAAGGTAAAACTGTACTGAACAGTAACATTATCTGTTACTGTAATGTTAATTACAGTAACATTAATGTTAGCCCTGATTTTTTCTGAATGGGGAGACTGTTATTTTCATTTTTGAATTTTTCTGACGTCTCCAAAATCTTCATAACGGATGGGTGTTTCTTTTGTAATAATAAGGAGAAAATATTTTGTAAAATAACAATATCACCAAGATCAAGAGGGGAAGAAGGCATTTAATTGCTAACTATGACAATAAGTAAACATGAGACTGAAGGAGCACAGCCTTTCATTCTTCGTAAATGCTGACAACACCCAACCATTGATGCACACAGAGCTACGTCAGTTAGTGAACTTAAATGTAATCCTCTCTGAAGGCTAACAATGTTGGTCAACAAGCTTTCTGTAAATACTCATCTACTTCAATACTGGATGTTTAAACAATGCACATTAAATTCCTCTCAACCTGGCCCAAATTCTAATGACAATGTTTATTATGACAATGTTAATGACAATGTTATACCACATTGTGGTTCAGCGATCCTTAAAGCATATTTTAATCAAACTGACAAAGAATGATTGAAA